CCCTTGCCTCCCTTCCTCACCTGGCAAATTCCTGCCTGCCCTCGGAACCCAGCACAGAAGGCACCATCCAGTATGGATCCTTCCCCACTGCCCTGGGCAGGAACTCATGCACCAGTGGCCCCCACACAGCCCTCGCAGGCCAAGAAGCCCCCCATGTGCTTGTTGAAAGAATGAATGAATGAACGAATGGCATTCTTCCATCCAACAAACATCCTCCCTGTGCCCAAATAAATTATCCACTGCTCAATGCATCAGTCCCTGCCCCTGCCTCTCCCATCCCAACCTTTCAGCTGAGAAAACTGCACTGCACAAGGCATTTGAGGGGACTATGGAGTTGCAGCCAGGTGGGGTCTGGGGGGCCCTGCACCTTTCCCCTGGCCTCTCAGCATCAACAGGAGCCCACAATGGGATTCCACATATGAAACTTCTGACTCCTTCGCTGAGGCTGTTTGGTGGTCTGGGCTGTTGTGGAGAGAAAGTCACGCAAGATGAGTGGGATGTGAGCCCTCATCCCAGGAATATCTGCACGAGGCCAGGAAGTTCTTGAACCTGCTTTCAGGCATGCGAAGTGGGTGTAGCGTCTGCCCTATCTACTTCCTGGGCTAGTATATGTGGGTGCTGGGACAGTGGGACGTCCCCTTCCAGGCTCCTCAGCTGCAGAGACGGGGTTACCCATAACAGGCGCCTCCTTTGTACCCAGCCACACCCGCTGGGCACCCACCAGAGGCGGAGGTCACAGGTGCGCACCTCTGTGGGGGTCAGACGACAATCAGCATCTCTCTTTCTCTCACTTTTCCAGAACCTCCAAGACCTCTGGCTCACCTTTGCCGGTTGCAGGTTCGAAAGGCCATTGGGAAATGTCGTCTAAAACTCTTGGACACGTTGCCGCTCCCGGGCAGGCTGATTAGATACCTGAAATATGAGAACACCCAGTAGTGGGTCATGGGAAGAAGGAGTGGTCCCTTGGCTCTTTCCACGGCAGGATGACAGCATCCCCCATCCAAGGGCAGTGGGGACAGAACGAGGCTGCAGGTCACATCTCTCTCAGCCGGGTCCACACCAGCACTCTGCTCAGAGTGGAGAGCACAGTGTGTCCAGTAGGAGAAGAATCGTGTGTTTGCAAACCGTTGAGTTGGTCCCAGACCAAATGGCAGAGACCTTGGCCCAGGTTAGAACTCAAGGTGGTCTGGGAAAAGCAGGGGCCGTGGAGGGTCCCCAGCCTCCACCTGCACTGTGGCTGGAGCCCTTCTAGGAATGAGTTTGCCTTTCCAGGAGGACCTCGCTTCAGAGCATTCCCTGCACCCCTGCCTGACTCTGTGAAACTCTCCACTGGACCTCAGCCAGTGAGGGACCCTTGGTCCCCAGGGCTCCTGTGAATACAATAAATGTTGCACATGTGAGAACTGGCATATCGAGGTCCTTCTCACCACACTTCCCTAAATCCTGAGGTCCTCGGCCCTGCTCCTGGCCGAGCAAATGGGGAGAGGGTATGTGGACCCCTGAATCTGCTATTTGTGCTGGCTGTGTTAGGCAGCTTTCTGTTGCAGGGATAAAATATGTGAGAGCACAGTTTAAAGGAAGGAAGACTGATGTTTGGCCCACAGTTTCAAAGCTATCTGTCTGTGCCCCATCACTGGGCCTGCGGTGGGCAGTGGGTGGCAGAGCAAAGCTGCCTGCTTCATAGTGCCCAGGAGGGAAAGAGGGGAGAGGGAGAGAAGGACCAGTGACCTACTGTCAATGAGGTCTCACCTCCTAAAGTCTCCACCACCCCTCAATAGCACCAGCTGGGCACCAAGCCTGCAGCACATGAGGATTTGTGGACATTTAAGATCCAAACTGTGACACTGGGCTTCTGAAAGAACTTCCAAGAGGGTGTTTGCTTCCTTGACCAGGAGATGCCTGACTCTCCAGCTGGTTTTCTTTCTGGTTAAATCACCACGGAAAGAGGATCTTCATGACAAGGAGGGTATCTGTGCCCACGAGTCTCCCAACACCTGGGGCTGTCTTAGATACTCATTTCCTGGCACTCCTGCTCGACCGTTTTCCTGCAGAAGTAGATATGGCTGGTTGCGGGGGCGGCGTCAACCCTGGTTATTGTGAGAAATGGTGCTGGAGCTATAGCCGTGGTCAACCCCTGCAAAAGCTCGAAGCCCAGGCCCTCAGGCAGCCTGTGGGGTGAGCCAGGCAGGAGCAGCGCCTCATTCCATGTGGGAGGGTCACCACTGTCATAGGTTTTCTTGGGTCTCTGGGCTGAGACCTAGCGCACCCTGTTTCCATGGGAGTTGTAATAACTTACCGTGTTTGCTTTGCACATGTGGTTAAAGCCCCTGTGGTCTGGGCCACTCCACAGCCACACCAGAGCTGGCCACCTTGCTGAGAGCCTGTATCTAGCTCAACTCCTGGATCTGGTAGGGTCTTCAGCAAGGTTATGGACAGTTTCTGTCCTTCAGGCAATGAACAACTGGGCCAGCGAGTGAGCATTGGCTCCAGGCTGGTGTGCATTTGGGTTCTTATAATGTCGGTAAGTCTACCGCTGGGGTCATGGCATGGAGCAGCCACCTCCCACATGCCCTGCCCAGCCGTGGCCTTCTTAGGCCCTTGTCCTGACTTCCCGCAATGCAACTACTAAGCCTTGCCTGGGGCCTGCACCAGTTGAGCAGTCCTGGTTGGTCAGTGCTCATTGCTGCCCTGTGGTCCATATTTTGATAATCACTGCCATCAAGGGGATTGACAGCCATCACCCTTTACAAGACACTGCTACCTCCCACTGCCCTGTGACCCAGCCCAGGGAGGGTCTCCAGCCTCAGAGGGTCACTCAGCATCCCTGAACCCTTACCACTCAGGAAATCAGGCAACAGTTCCATTTCGTGCCTGGCCTGGGGTGGGAACTGGAGACTGAGCCCTGGCTGCATCTGGGTTTTACTTTTAGCCATCCTAGCTCACATTTTGGCGAGCTGTGCACCCACTGCTGGTACGGGGCTGTTTTCTGTTTATCTCTTTGCTTTTAATACCAAAGGTTCCCGGGTGTTTTTCCATGGGTGAACCAGTGCCATGGGCTTCTTTACCCAAGTAAAGTCTCAGTAAGGTTTCTGCTTTGAAGAGAGGCCTCCCAACTTTGGAACAAATGGAACTGCAGCCATCCCATGAGGAAGCTGAGCCCTGGCAGGGGCAAGCTGGTGTCAGACAGAAGTTCAGCAGGCGGGGCTCAGGTGGCCCCAGGGGAAGACATGGCTACTGAGGTTGAGTTCTTTGGGGAGTGTGGTTGGTTGGATGGTCCAGGAGCCCCTTTGCCATGGGCAGCACATTGTACAAACAGCCATCAGTGTGGCAGGAGGCCCTGCCACATAATCATGAGAGGGAACTTCTGCCACTTGGGGGCTCATGTGTGGTGCACAGCACTAGGTATGCAGATCTGCCTCAGCATCTCCTGCACGAGGCCTGTGACCGGCCACATTTTGCAGATTAGGAAATTTTGGCACAGAGAGGTGAAATAATTTGCTCAAGATCACACAGCTGGTTGGAAGGCAGGACCAGCATGCAGGCTTAGCTATCCAGGTTGGAGGTTAAAACACTGGTTTGGGGGGTCTGCATGATGACACACGGGGGGCACAGTGGGGCACATACTTCATCCAGCCCTTATCACTCTAAGGCCAAGAGGTCCGAGGCTAGGGGTCCAGGCTAAGGATCTCCTCCATCCTGTATGCCAGGCAGTTACTCAGGACAACACTGCTGTGACACACCAGCATCTGCAGCCCTGAACTCTTCTGAAGCCATGGGACGTAAACCACCAGAAGCCAGCCTGCTTTCCCATGAGCTGCTGCTCTGTGGGACTCCCTGCTCTGGTGGCAGCTTGGAAGAAAACTAGGCAGGACCGAGGGGTCCTGGGCAGCTGCTTATCTTTGACCTTGTGTGGGCAGGCAGGATCTAAAGGAGAGATCCTGGGGTGCAGATGAAGTCGATATACCCATTCTCGGCCCCATGCTACAGATGAGGAAACTGAGCCCAGAGTGGGATCTAGCTTATCCAGCGTCCTGAAGCTGATCAAGGCACGTGGTCTCCAGCCGGGCTGGCCCCTGTACCAGGCTGAATCATAGGCACTGTTCTCAACAACTGAGAAGCTCTGTATGCCAAGGGCCCAGCCTCTGTCTGCAGAGCAACACAGAGCATCGAGCATGGGAGGCCCCTCCAGTGGCTTTGCCAGCCTGGCACTCTCAGGGCAAAGCTCAGGGCAGCTCCAGTGCCCCCCTCTGTGGACTGTCCCAGGCAGAAGCCTCATCATTGCATCCATGGCAAGATGCCCAGGACTGGGAACCATCAGCATGGAACCGGGGAGCTGACTTAGCTAGGGGTGGTTTCTTGGGTGGTTCGGTATTTTGTTTTCTGTCTGCTATTGTGTGTGTGTGTGTGTGTGTGTGTGTGTGTGTGTGTGTTTTGTTGCCTGTGGATGTAGCAACTAAAGACTGCTTAAAAGAGGGATGATTTGGCCAGCTGTAAAGACACACTTGTTATCTCAGACTCTGGGAAACTAAAGCAAGAAAATCAAAAGTTCAAACTCAGCCAGGGCAACTTAATGAATCAGTGAGAACTTTCTTCAAAACAAAAAAATTTTAGAAAGGGGGATGCAGCTCAGTGCAAAAGCCCTAGGTCTAATCTCCACAACCATAAAAACAAAAACAATTTGGACAAACCACGTGTTTCATCCACAAGGGGCTGAACTCCTTATTTTCCTCTGACCAGGGCTGGGCTCACACAGCAGGGCTGTACCAGTAGCTCCACTTCCCTTGGATCTAGAGTAGCTCGGACCTTCCAGCACCACAGGCCCACCCAGCCTCTGCCTTCTGAAACATGGATCAGAGAGTCCTTTGCTGCCCGCCCTCCTTCCTTTGAGCAGGGCCCAGCTCTAGACATCACCCAGGCTATTCCTGGCCTCCCCACTAAGCAGCACAACCAGGACTTCCTGGCCTGGGGACCATTCCACTGCATGACACCCAAGATGTGGAAACTGCAAAAGAAATGTCTTTATTCTATTAACCTTCTCAATATTTACAATGAACAAAAGAACAACAACTGAAATTGGCTTAAACAGTGGGTGTGTAAGTGGCATCTGGGTACCTGGTGGGCTGGGCCAGGTCCCACTGCCGGTGGTCTGCACAGGGACAGGGAGGGATCTGCTGGGCTCTGGCCCGGCTGGGGAGGGGCCAGCCCTGCCCAGCCCCAAGGCTGCCCTCAGAATGCACAAAGGGAAGGGGTGTTTGGAATGCCCAGGCCATGCCTCTGCCCAGCCCCCTCCTCCCAAAGACAGCGCCTTGGGTCCCCGATGTCCTGCAGGCTGAAGGAGGAGGCCCAGACCCTGACAGCCTAACTAGAGGTAACTGAAGACGTTGAAAATGGGCGGGGGCACAGCTGGCTTGGTGGGAATAGGCTTCAGAACCATGGGTCTGTACACCTTCTGCCCTGGGCTGTCCACGTGCTTGCAGAAGTGGGCCAGCTCTGCGGGCAAAGCCGGGCTTTTCCTCCACAGGCCAAGGCTGGGGAGGGGGCTCGGAGGCAGGGCCCCTGGAGGGCTGGGGTAGATGGGCTGTCCATGGTACTGGAATGGGCAGCAGCTCCAAGCATCAACACAACCCACCAGGGAGACCCCGGGCATCTTGAGTGGCTCTTTGTTGGCCAGCACCCTAGGGGACATGGGCCCTGGGGCAGCCTCAGGCACCGAGGACTCCAAGCCCTTGCAATTTTTCTTACTCTCATAGGGAGATCCCTCCCTAGGGCCCAGTCCCCCCTCCAACCCCATGGGGTAGCTGTGGGTGGGCCTCGGCTCTTCCCAGAAGGAAGCGGGCAGCTGTCTTTTCCGCATGGGCACCTGGCCAGGCTTGGCAGCTCCCAGGCCCTGCCCCTGGAGGATCTGCTCCTTGGAAAGACATTCCTCCCCAAAGGGGCTCCCCAGAGCCTTCTCCTTGCAGCCCCCACCCCCGCCAGGGCCAGAATCGGGGCCGGGATGGAGGAGCAGCCGCCCCGGTCGGTCCTCAGGCCCTCTTTTCAGGTGAGGCTCAGCTGCCCTGCCGGGAAGGCCCCGCGGGAGCCGGGAGTACTTCTGAGAGAAGCGTTTGAGCTGCTTCTGCAGGTACTTGCGGTGGTCCACAGAGCGGCGGCAGGGTGCGGACTTGTCCAGGGCAGCCTTGATGTCGCTGGACGCCAGGTTCACAAAATTCAGCAGCATCTTCACGTCAGTGTCGGATGCCATCACCAGGGGCCCAGGGTGTGGGGCTTTCCATGAAGAGGGTGCTCTCTGCAAGGGGCTGGCAGCTCTGAGGAGGGTGCGGGGCTGACCTAGGGGACAGGGCGGGCCATTGGGGTCTCTCTGAGCAGCCACACCCAGCCCCCCCAAAGCCACCCAACCTGGATGCAGACAGTGTCCCCACCCCACACCCTCAGCCCGGAAAGGAGCCCTGGACGACGGGACACCTGGGCGAGGAGGAGTGACCCTGAGCACTTGTGATGCTGCGGGAGCTAACGGCCTCATCAAGCCTTCGGGGATGCTGCCCTTTTCCTGTCGCCGGGGCTCAGAGAGATCAAGCAAGTTGACCCAAAGCGACCCAGCTACAAGTGGCATCGCTGGGCGGCTCCCACACGCCAGCTGTGCAGGCTTCTGCCAAGGCGCACAACTTTGCCAGCAAGGGTTTTTCTTCGCTGAGAGGAAGCGACTGCTCCACTTTATAGAAGGCCAAGCCCCTGCCTCCCTGGCGCTGGCCTCCCCCTCCCTCCCCCCCGCC